GAAATAAGGGTGTAGCTTATCAAGGTGACTATTTTGAAGAGGACAATCCTTGGGGTTTATAATTTTGGTATTTTCGTGCAAGCAGTCACTGCCTTCTAGTTCCAACCCAAGCAAAACAAGATAACGAGGGCGATACACCAGGAAATGGGTAAGAAAGAAAAAGAAAAAAATGAGAATATGAATTGCTACTTGACCTTCCAGGGATGACCTAGACACCATCACACATCCAAAATTAATCTCAGAGGGCAAGAATGTAAGTACTAGGTGGCCTCAGGCTCTTTGGTGTGTGCACCTTCTCCCCCCACCAAGCACAAACAACTAAGGAAAATTCTGGCCATAAGCTGTTGTACATTCCTTCTTTTCTCTTTTATTCTTTCTACTCCTGGCAAGGACTATGCCAACTGAGGTAATGAGGAAGCCAAAATGGGAAATTTGCACTAAAAAGGGTGAAGAGTTACTTGTTTAAGGAAAAAAAAAAGGTTAAAGTGAAGAATGTGAACGGGAGGTTGAAGGGAGGACAACAGGAAGAGATGAGCCCACAGGGCTGCTGGTCAGGGAAACTTCAGTGGGGAATTAAGAGGTAAAGGTGCACAGGGAAGGTGTGGGGGAGCTTCCAGAAGCGGGAGATACAGAGAATGAGAAGAGAGACTTCCAAAAGTGCTGGCAAGGATGACAAATGTTGGATATTCTTTAAAGTTTCATAAAAGGTATTTGTAAAGATTGGAGTTACAGGCCCACCTTGGAGGTATCACGAGTTTGGTTCCAGACCACCACAGTAAAGCAAGTATTGCAATAAAGTGAGTCAAATGAATTCTTTTGGTTTCCCATGCATGTAAAATTTACATTTACACTGTACTGGAGTCATTTAAGTGTGCGATAGCATTATGTATTCAAAAACATACATACTTTAATTTAAAAGTATTTTATTGCTACAAAATGCTCACCATCATCTGAGCTTTCAGAGAGTCATAATCACTGAGCATAGATCACCATCATAAATACAATAATAAGGAAAAAGTTTGAAATATTGTGAGAATTATCAGAATGTGACACAGAGACATGAAGTGAGCTCATTCTGTTGGAAAAAAAATGGCGCCCATAGATTTGCTCAACCCAGTGTTGCCAGAAATCCTAAATTTGTTAAAAAAACATAGTATCTATGACATGCAATAAAGCCAAGTGCAATAAAATAAGGTATGCCTGTATTTTAAATTTCTTTTGGTTGTGGAATTGTGTTTCTTTGACTGCAACACAAGACTGGGCCGAGAAGAGCTCTTGATTTATGCAGGATATAGTAGAATAAACTTTATAGCAGGTACTCTTAACGTGGGACTCATGGGAGGACTAAATCCTCATAATTGTATGCAATTTTTGTGGCCATGTGTACATATATATTTTGAAATGATGAGAACCTTCATGCTCATAGTCTTTATCAGATTCTTTTTTTTTAAAGATTTATTTATTTGAGAGAGAGTGTGTGAGATCGGGGGGGGAGGGGCAGAGAGAATCTCAAGCAGACTCCTGGCTGAGTGTGGAGCCCAACTTGGGGCTCCATCTCACGACCCTGAGATCATGACCTGAGCAGAAATCAAGAGTCCAATGCTTAACTATCTGCACCACCCAGGCACCCCTGCTTTTATTTAGATTCTTAAAGAGTTCATGATTCGTCTTAAAAATATGAACAGACTGCCACTAGGGAGAGAGGAGGCATTCTCTCAGGGCAAAAGACCAAGTTAAAAAAAAAATGTAACTACAGAAGATACCTGATTTCTAATTGTACTGCAAAAGCTTAAGAGGTTAGTCTGGATCCATTTATTTTGCCAGAGATACCAACATCTTCCTTCCCTCCCCTTAAATTCCTCTCCTGATTTCCTTGGTATTTGAAAATACATTCAGTGGTTTTTTTCTTTGTTGGTTTGTTTTTGTTTTAAAGACAGTACTCCATGAGTGTGCTAAATAAATCAGGGGAAAGAACGACTGGCATTTTCGGGGACTCAAGAAAGGTGGGGGAAAATCAGAGTTCAACTCACAAGCAAATCACAGACATTTATGATAGTTGGAGCAAGGCATTGCAAGAAGCCCTGAAACAGGGCGCCTGGGTGGCTCAGTTGGTTAAGCGACTGCCTTCGGCTCAGGTCACGATCCTGGAGTCCCCGGATCGAGTCCCGCATCGGGCTCCCTGCTCAGCGAGGAGCCTGCTTCTCCCTCTGACCCTCCCCCCTCTCATGTACTCTCTCATTCTCGCTCTCTCAAATAAATAAATAAAATCTTTAAAAAAAAAAAAAAAGAAGCCCTGAAACAAGGGAAAAAAGCACAGTACACAGCAGTGAGAGTATTAGGGTCATCGGACTGCTCACCTGTCCCGTCGAGGTACACGGGAAGGCATTTGCAGCAATTACTCTCCTACTGAAGGCATTAATGCATCATGCTGGTCTCAGAAGCCTTCATGCAACGCATCACAGCTTAGACATCCAATTCTATGAGCTGGATAAACATTTAAATTCTGGAGGGCAAAGAGTGCCAAAGGGAGAACTGAGAACCCTGAAAACCTGCCATTGCTTTGCTAAGTTTGTTCAAACCACCTCCTCAGGTGTTTTATGCAAACCCGAATGGGAGGCACAGAGCAGCTCCCAAGTCTTTGACACACGCCTTCCTCCTTCGTCCGCCTCTTTCTTCCCAGCAGAGCAGCGCCCACAAGAATGCACCGTGATCTTACTCAAGACCAAAAATTCAGCCCAGTGTCTTTGAAGAAGGCCGTCAGCAAATCTTAGTCCCTGGGGTTCGGGGACCCGGGTCCCAGGCATGCCGCAGGCATTTGTTAAATGCTTATTGAGTCAATGAGTAGCTAAATGAGTAATGAACAGACATCGTGCACCCTTTCCTGTCACTGTGGGTCTGTAACTTTAAAGGCAGCCCAGGACGTGGGAGAGCAGTAGTGGGGAAACTAGAATGCCCCCCCCCATATGCCCTTACCCCTTTCCCATAGCAGACACTTCCTTAGAGGGGCTGGAGCCTGGAAGGGGGTTGCTCTCCCTGGAGCTTTGATGACGACAGCAGGAGGTACTGCCTCATAAAGGCATCTACCAAGGAAGTCTGGAGGGAAAAGGGTGTGGTAGGCAGAAATCGCACTCCCCCCAACCCTGTCCAAAGATGCCCACATCCCAATCCCCAGCACCTGCGAATGTGATGTTGCATGCCGAGGGAGAATGAAGGTTGCAGCTGGAATAAACGTCGCTGATCACTTGAGCCCAAGATGGGGAGATTTTCCTGAACATCCAGGCAGGCCCAAAGTAATCACAAGGTCCTCAAAGGAAGAGTAGGGGCAGACACAACAACCAGAGGGACGCACAATGAGGATGTGACTAACTGTTGCTGACTCTGAAGGTGGAGGAAGGGCCCAGAGCCAAGGAATGTGGGCAACTTCTAACAATTGTAAAAGGCAAGAAAATGGTTCCTCTCCTAGAGACTACAGAAAGAAATACAGCCTGCCCACACTTCGATGTTAGTCCATGAAACCCGTCCTGGACTGCTGATCTCCAGAGCTGTAAGATAGTAAATTTATGTTGTTTTACGCTCCTAAGCCGGTGGTGGCTTGTTGTAGCAGCCTCATGACACAGCGGGTCAGTGACAGGCAGGGAAGGACAGGCAGGTGGGAAGACTGGTTTTGTCCTTATGAGCCAAGGGATCTTTGGGAATTTCTTTCATGGCTTTGAGGCTTTGGTTTTCTCATCGCTAGAGGGGGTTAAAACTAGCAACCTCATCAGACTACTTTCAATGTTAAATGAGATCACATATTTGAATGGCCCAGCTCCTGGCTTGCACACTATGGGTGCTCATGATTCCTGATCCCCACCCCCTTCTCCTCTACCCTTGACAGGGCAGGGATCGCAAAAGAAGAGAAAAAAGGGGAAAAAATCAAATGAATGGAGACAAAGGGGTCTAGGATGGGGAATCCACACCACCCACTGCTGCCTGGGGTGTGGGATGCCAGTTCTGTGGTCTCCCGAGGATTTCATAAAATGAGGGTTTGAAGGGCTCTACCATTTGTCAGAAAGAGGGGGGAGTGTGAAGAATAGGAGACATTTGGGGTGGAACAGGAGAGGGAGAGGAGGAAAAGAAAAGGAACATAGGGTGGGACCTAGACTAGAAGACATGGGTAGGATTTCCCCAGTATGGGGACTGCACCTCTGCTCAGAAATGAATGGAAGTTCAAAACCAATGGGTGGTTCCTCTTTCTTTTCTGTTCCTCTTTCTTTTCTGTTCCTGTTCCTACACAATCCTTCCCTTCAGTCTATGCACATAGTAGACCATATTCATACACGTGCATCAGTGAGCTTATTGAAGGTAGAGCATGTGTTCCGGGATGGCAAGGGAAGAGGGGTGCACACATTTATTTATGTCAAATTTCAAAGGTTACAATGGACCTTTGAAAAGCACTGGCAAAATGTTCTCTTGGGAATAATAACCAAAAACTAGTTAAATCCTATTATGTCTCTGGATCTGTCATTCCTTATTCCTTTTTCTGAGGTGATATGGGAGATTATCTATCTATCTATCTATCTATCTATCTATCCATCCATCTATCCATCTATCTATCATCTATCCATCCATCCATCTATCATCTATCTATCCATCCATCTATCCATCTATCTATCATCTATCCATCCATCCATCTATCATCTATCTATCCATCTATCATCTATCTATCTACCTATCATCTATGTATCATCACCGTCATCTATCTCACGATGTAGGCAAGATCTCTGCCATAAATGATGATGTTATGTTCTGTAGGGTGATGCTCAAGGTACTATGAGAAGGTTATGGATGCTGGAAAATGCAAACTTCTAAGTTTTAATGAAACAACTTACTCCCTTTTAGATTTTGCAGCCAATGTAGATTTTGTGACAACAGAGCTGTAAATGCACTGGGTTAATTTCAAAAGAGAATATCCAAATTGTAATAAAAATCATGGCTAGGGTTTGGATGTACTTTGTATTCAAATATTTTTTATTAAATTTTGTGATATTGCACAAACTTTGAATAGGTCATTTTGTGGTTGGGGCAAATCTATTTCTATTAACACATTTTAAGTTTGAAGAAATAAGTTGATTTTAACCCATCTTTCCAGCTTATTAAATTATTTTGCGGAAGTCACAAGAAGAAACTCACAAACTATTGTTCCTTTTAAAGGAATATTTATAAATTGCAAAAGGACTTGCCGTGTAATACATCTAGCTTCAAATTACAGTAACAAGATGATTTCCCTGTCTTCTTTTTCAAACCAACCTAAAATTGAGTTAGTAGCACATAAAGACATTAGCTATTGAGATTTTTTTCAATGCTTTTAAAAGGAAAAAGTAAAGTCTTCTAAAGTGACCATGATACGTTTAAGTAAATATTTTCCCCAAAGTTCCCTGTATAATTGAACTTGAGAAGACACAGGTAAACACACAGGCATGCTGCAGTATTTTAGAAAGTAATTTACCATTTCCTCTGATTTTTGGAAAGCCCTGCATGTAAAATATACAAAATCTGCTGCAATTTCTCACAATACCATTTTTTCCTAAAGGTTTCCCAAGTTGGGTAACCAGCAGCGCTGATAAATCGGTTAGTCCACGGGCTCGGAGATCTTGGGGTAAAATAGTCACTGCTGCTTTTCTCTTCTGCCCTTTGCCGCAACTGTCCCCAAACGGCTTTACAACTGAGTTTACAGATCAAAAGACTTCTTCTACAAATACTTGCAAACTTCTGTTGGAATATGCAGAGATTTTCAGAAAAGTCAACATTTACTTAGTGCAAGGAGCCTGAAGTCTGAGCTAGCCGAGCGATCAGCAGGTTTATCTAACCCAGAAAAACAACTCAAGTAGCTGAATTATACAGGTATTCACTTTTGTCCCCCAAGGAGCTTTGCTGGCGGCAGTCAAAACCAAAGTGGGAACTTAATAAAAATGAAAATTGTGGTAGCAAAATACACTTACAAGGTTAATTTGACATATTGCAAAAAATTGGGGAGGTTAAAGTGGTTTCTATATAACCACAGTCCTGATTTAGAAAAACCCCAGAGAAACAGCTGTATTATGATATATAACCGGCCTTGCCTGCATAGGAAACCCCAGCTTTTGGGTGTGTAAGTCTCGAGATGCTAGATTTTGGGGAAAATTGTACGCAGCTCTCATCGAGAAATAACGGGCTAGTAAGACCTGTAGAAGTTTACGGTTACACATGAGGCAAACAAATATTTGCTCCAGAGATCACATCGTTCATTTCTTGAACTACAGAGTGGAAGAGATGAGAAAAAGGAGTCCGTTCTGCTGACTCAGTCAATTCTGATGAAGAAAATTATGTCCTCACCCGCGGATTCTCTGCTTACCTGAGAATGTCTCCATTTCTGGCATTTGGTCGCAACTGGTCGAGGCAGGCCTGGCAAGATGCCTTCCAGATTCTGGAAGATTAGCTCCTGCACATCCTCGGTGCTGTGCTCCAAGTGGGTGACTCCAAACGGGACAGTGGTGTGAACCACAAGGGAAGGCCCGATTTCGGATGACTCTAGTGTTAAGAGGAACACAAGGACACATCTTGAAGCAGGTTAGAGTGAAGTATCTGTCAACATTTCAAGCCAGGTTTAAGAATGAATCACAATCGGGGTGCCTGGGTGGCTCAGTCGTTAAGCGTCTGCCTTCAGCTCAGGTCATGATCCCAGGGTCCTGGGATTGAGCCCCGCAT